GAAGGTAGGAGACAGAGTGTGATGGTAGAGGGTTGTTTTTTGGACTGGAGGCCTGTGACCAGTGGTGCTATGTCCACTGCTTTTTGTTAGTTATATAAATGATTTGGATGTGAATATAGGAAGAATGGTTAGTACATTTGCAGGTGACACCAAAATTGGTAGTGTAATGGACAGTGAACAAGGTTATCCCAGAGTACAACAGAACCTTGATCAGATCAGCCAATTAACCGAGGAGTGGCAGATGGAGTTTACTTTAGATAAATGTTGGGTGTTGCATTTTGGTAAGGCAAATCAGGACAGGACGTATACACTTAGCAGTAGGGTCTTAGGGAGTGTTGCCGAACAAAGAGACCTTGGGGTGCAGGTTCATAGTTCCTTGAAGGTGGAGTCACAGGTAGACAGGGAAGTGAAGAAAGTGTTTGGTACACTTGCCGTTATTGGTCAGTGCATTGAGTATAGGAGTTGGAAGGTCATGTTGTGGCTGTACAGGACATTGGTTAGGCTGCTTTTGAAAGACTGTATTCAATTCTGGTCTCCCTGCTATAGAAAGATATTGTTAAACTTGAAAGGGTGCAGAAAAGCTTTACAAAGGATATTACCAGGTTTGGAGGGTTTGAGCGATAAAGACAGGCTGAACAGGTGGGGACTATTTTCCCTGGAGCTTAAGAGATTGAGGTGTGACCTTATAGAAGTTTATAAGAGGGATGTGAAAAGGGTGAATAGCCAATGTCTTTTTCCCAGGGTAGGGGAGTCCAAAACTAGAGGGCATAAGTTTAAAGTGACAGGGGAAATACATAAAAGGGACCTAAGAGGCAACTTTTTCACACAGAAGATGCTGCATGTATGGAATGAGCTGCAAGAGGAAGTGGTGGAGGCTGGTACAATTACAACATTTAAAAGGCATCTGAATGGGTACATGAATAGGAAGAGTTTCGAGGAATAAGACCCAAATGCTAGCAAATGGGACTACATTAATTTAGGATATCTGGTCAGCATGGACGAGTTAGACCAAAGAGTCTGTTTCAATGCTGTACAGCTCTGTGATTCAATTCTTTCTTAACACCAATTAAAGATGGATAGTAAATGTTGGTCCACCCAGTGAATCTGATATCTCCTGAATGAATTAAAAAAAAACTTCATCCATAAAAGTAGAATGTTCTACCAAGCACTGAAATAATTCTACAGTATAAAGAGATGCATGCAAATTATGATGATGTAACTAGTAATGTGGCTCTGACATCATAAGAGCGAAGACACAAATCTGTAACGAGCATGTGAAAAGATACATTTTGGACATTACAAGGGACAGCTATATTTGCAAACCTACAATGTACAGCTGCAATCAAATGAGTGTTCTAATACATAAGGAATTCAGGAATCTTAGATAATGTTATGGAGCAAGCAGATGGGATCTGCCCCAGAATGCTGAAGGAGGCAGGTGAGGAAATTGCTGGGGCCTTGTATGAAATCTTTGTATCCTCTTTAGTCACAGGAGAGGTCCCAGAGGACTGGAGAATAGCTGACATGTTCCTTTGTTTAAGAAGGGCAACAGAGAATGTACATGGCCTAAGTTTGAAGATCACAGAAAGATTGGGGGAGCTGAGGATCATGAGGAGAATTGCCAGAGTATACAGCAGGCTATAGATAGGTTCTAAATTTGAATGGAGAAATGGCAGATACAGTTTAACCTTGACGAAAGCAAGGTGATGCATTTTGGGAGACTTAATGCAGGAGGGAAGTATACAGTAAATGGCAGAACTCTTTGCAGCATGAACATACAGAGGAATCTAGGCATGCAGGTTCATAGTTTCCTGAAAGTGGCAACACAAGTGGATAAGTTGAACAAGAAGGTACGCTTGCCTTCATCGTTCAGGATATAGAGTATAAGAATTAGCAAGCCATGTTGCAACTGTACAGAACTTTAGTTAGGCCAAATTTGGGAAGTTGGGTACAGTTCTGGTTGCCACACTACCAGAAGGATGTGGAAGCTTTGGAGACAGTACAGAAATGGTTCACCAGGACGTTGCCTGGTTAGGAGGGTATTAACTGTGAGGAAAGATAGGACAAATTTGGTTTGTTTTCACTTGAATGTGGAAGGATGGGGGTGACCTGATGGAACTTTGCAAAATTACAGAGATATGGTTGACTCTTAACTGCCCTTTGGATGGACAATAAACAGTGGCCTCACCTCATGAATGTATTTTGTACAATTATGAGAGACATGGATAGAATGGATAATCAGAGTCTTTTTCCCAGGGTAGAAATGTCAATTTCTAGGGAACATGGATTTAAGGTAAAAGGGGGTAAGTTTAAAGGAGATGTGAGAGGCAGGTATTTTTACACAGAGGGTGGTAAGTGTCTGGAATGCACTGCCGGAGGAGGTGATTGAAATGGATGCAATTGCAGTGTTTAAAAGGCAACTTGACAGTTATGTGAATAGACAGGGAAATGGACAGTGTAGAGGCAAAAGGTTTTTATTTTATAAAGGTATCATGTTTTGGCACAATCTTGTGAGCCAAAGGGCCTATTCCTGGACTGTACTGTTCTTTGTTTTTTGAATGTTACTTCCCACTTTTCAGCCCAAGCCTGGATATTGTCCTGGTCTTGTTGCATTTGAACATGGACTGGTTCAGTATTTGAGGAGTTACATGTGGCATTATCAGATGGGATTGACTTTGAACAACACTAACAGCTCAAGCCTGAAGTGCTGTGGCCATCAACAGCAGCAGACTGATGTGCAATCATCAGCGAATATCCCCACTTCAGTCCTTTTGACGGGGGCAAAGTCATTGATGAAGCAGCTGAAGATAGTTGGGCCTAGGATACTAGTCTGAGGAACTCCTGCAGAGATATCCTGGAATTGAGATGACCAATCTTTCAACAATCACAAGCATCTTCCCCTGTACTAGGTATGACTCCCACCAGTGTAGAGTTCTACCCTGATTCCCATTGATTCCAGTTTTGCTAGAACTCCCTGATGCCTCATTTGGTCAAATGCATCCTTGATATCAAGGACCGTCACTCTCACCTCACCTCTGGAGTTCAACTCTTTTGTCTATATTTGAACCAATGCTATAATGTAATCAGGAGCTGACTGGCCCTAGCAGAAGCCAAGCTCAGCATCAGTTGCTAAAATGGTGCTGCTTGAGAGCATTGTTAATGACACCTTCCATCACTTTACTGATGATTGAAAATAGACTGATGAGGTGTCAGTTAGTCAGATTGCATTTGTACTGCTTTTTGGGCAATTTTCCATATTGTCAGGTAGATGCCAATGTTGTAGCTGTACTGGAACAGCTAGGCTAGAGGTACAACAGGTTCTGGAGCCCAAGTCTTCAGTACTATTGCTAGAATGTTGTCAGGGCACATTGCCCTTAAAGTATCCAGTGCCTCCAACCATTTCTTGATATCTCATGGAATGAATCACATTGGCTGAAGACTGGCACTTGTCATGTTGGAGACCACTGGTGGAGGCCAAGATAAATCCACTTGGCACTTTTAGCTAAATATTGTTGCAAATGCTTCAGCTTTATCTTTTGCAGTGATGTACTGGGCTATTCTATCATTGAAGACGGGATTATTTGTGGACCCACTTCCTCTAGTGAGTTTTTTAATTGTCTGCAACCATTCATGACTGGTTGTGGTAGGACAGGAGAGCTTAGCTCAGTCTACCATTTGCAGATCATGCTGTTTGGCCTGCAAGCAGTCCTGTATGGTAGCTTCACCAAGTTTATCCCTTATTGCCTCGTCCTGCTCCTGGCATGCTCTCCTACAATTTCTATTGAACCAGGGTTGATCCCCTGGCTTGATGGTAATAGTTGAGTCGGGGATATGCCACGCCTTGAGGTTGCAGATTGTGTTGGAGTTTGGGTCTGCTGCTGTTGATGGACCACAGCACTTCATGGATGCCCAGACTTGAGTTGTTAGAGTTGTTCAAAGTCAATCCCATCTGACAATGCCACACAACATGATGGTGGGACTTTAGCTCCATAAGGACTGGACGGTGCTCACTCTTACCAATCCTGTCATAGACAGATGCATCTGCAGCAGGCAGGATGAAGTCAAGTATGCTTTTCCCTCATCACCTGCTGCAGACCCAGTCTAGCAGCTATATTGTTTGGATTACAGCCAGTTTGGTCAGTAATAGTGCTGCCAAGCCACTCTTCAATAGAAACTGAAGTTTACCACCCACTGTACATTATATCCTTGTCACCCTCAGTGTTTCCTCCAAGTAATGTTCAACATTGAAGGTACTAATTCATCAGCTGGGGGAGAATGAAATGTGGTAATCAGCAGGAAATTTCCTTTCGTATTTGCCTCAATACCATTATACTTCTTAGGGTCCAGAGAATGTTGGGAACTCTGAGGACAATTCCATCCCAAATGTGTAAAATTAAACCACCACTTCTGCTGTTCTGGCAGTGGGACTGGAGATACCTACACCATGCCACGTCATTTTTTGCTTAGTCTGTGAGACAGATGTCTCTATTTTAGCCCTAGGGCCCAGATGTTAATGAACAGGGTTGAGTTTGCTATTGTTGTTTCTGGCACCAAGGTCAATGCGATGTGGTCCATCCAATTCTGTTCCTTTTCTGACATCATTTAGCAGTTGAACAGAACTGAGTGTCTTGCTAAGCTATTTCAGAGAGCAATTAAAAGTCAATCACATTGCTGTGGTTATGAAGTTCACAAAGGCAAGATCGGAAAGAATGGCAGTTTTTCTTCCCTAAAGACCAGAACAAGGTGTACCTTCTACATACTAATACCCATTCCCACAATAATTTAACCAACAATACTTTGTCAGCAAAACCATAGGTAATGTCATTACTGAAGAAGTATCTTTTGAAAACAATACCTGCTGAATATGAAACCATGCTGTGTGGTATTTCTCAGATTTCTGGGCATGAAAAGATATAATTAAATGAATATAGCATGGTTAAAGGTATTGGCTTTGGATAGTGTCTGCCTTTCTTCCATTCAAAAATTCTGTTGTTTCTTAGCCTTAAAAATCAACTGGAACGGACAAATCGAATCTGGGAAAAGAAATTTGCTATACTGAAACAAAGGTATAATTTATAAAGTTCACAAGCAAAATTTATTTTTCTTAACAATTAATAGTACATGAGTTTTGCAGTTTATTATTGCTTCAGCAAATCAATAAGTTCATTTTACCCCAGTTGCTGTGCAATTTTTCTAAGACAAATCTGTAAACTTCCAGTTACCATGCAATAAAGGATGAGATGTATCTGAGATGTTCTTTGCAACGTCAAGCACCAATCCTTCACTGTGCTTTTACACGTTACACAGTAAGTACCTATTATGAAATGTGCAATTGTAGAAATATGTAACTATTCATTTCAGATCTTTTTTATAATGATCAATCTACAATATAAATGTATTGCTGTTAATGAATAGGAAACAGCGGGAATTTGATTAATGTAATCATAACTATTGAATTTCATAACTATAGAATATAATTGAACAATTATTGCAAAACCTGGTTGAAATGCCAAAGCCCTTTCTTTAGGACACCATTATAATTAACAAAAATAAGGTAGAAATTACTTTGCAAGCTCTTTGTTGAAACATTGCTAAACCAATCTGCTGCTCTTCACTTGTTCTTTCTCTGCTCCAAATAATGAACAATTTTCCTTTTAAAAATGTAATTCTCCATGTGCCAGGTCATTCAATGTTCCAGAAATCCTCAAAACTATATATTTAACAGAAAGCTGAGGATGCAGATTTAGAACTTAAAATAAATAAGTTCCTGAAGGGTAAGTGCAGGAGATAAAGCAGAACTTTGAGTTTTATACATAGCAACAAGGAATCCAAGAGCCAATAATTCTTTTTTCAAAACATTTGTTAGGAAACAGAGTAATATGTGAAGATTTGGATGCCCCCACAGAGTTCCTCTTTTCTTCCTGTTTATTTTCTATCCAATCTACCAGCATTTAGCCCTGTGTAAAAAAGCTCCCTCCTAACTTTCTTAATATCTCTGCACAGTAATTTTAAATTATCATTGACACCTCAATCAAAAGATCAATCACTTTGCTATAAAACTTCCCTGCTTTATCATTTTAAAAACTAACAGTCATCTTAGCTTTCTTTACTTCAAAGAAATTTGTTCTGGTATCTCAAGTTTCTCCTCATAACTGTAACCTTTCGCTTCCGATGTCCTCCTACTAAATTTATACTGTATGTTGAAATTACTGCACAGAGATCGGTATCTTATCACCAAGTCTCTTTTTTTTGGTTTAGACATGAAGTCCTTGACTCTGGTTCAGCCTCGTCAGAGCCAGCTCTCAAAGTGTCAGAATCTCTGACAGTCCTCTTTTTATCTGTTAGTCAGGGGTCCCTGATTGGACAAGCTTAACAGCCCCAATCAGGGAAGACGTGATCCATGAGGTTGACCTGACTCAGCTCATTACAGTCACTACATCCCTCCCCCTCTGAGTCCAAGAACATAGGCTGGTCCTTTTTCTTGAAGAGCTTCCTGGGGCTTAGTAGCACCGAGTCAGTTCCTCCGACTCGGCGTCAGGTAGGGGCGGCACATAACACATGGGAGTTCGTCTCTTATGCCAGGAGCACCTCCGTAGAAATTCACTCTCTTCTTCTCATGCCAATGGTGTCAATGCAGTTACTTCCATCATATCCATCTCTGAATCAGAGGTCTCATCAATGCTTCACAGACAGTGTGAACCGATGGGTTCTGGCAGCCTTTCCAACTGTTCCAAGGAGCATGGCACAATTTTCTCCCGTACCGTTTACGAGATTACAGCGTTCATGTAATCCACATGCTTTTTCAGGACCGTCACACCTACCCAAGTCTCATATGTCACTGGTCCTGACCTTCTGTCAACCATGTCTCTTACCCATACAGGGCAATTTCTGTGGTTCTTACACAAAACTTCATCTGCTGAAGTAAACTGTTTCTTTCCCTTGGTGGAGTCTTGTGTCTGACACTGCCGTTTCACCCTTCTCCCCCACCCCTCCCCCAAAGGTCTGGGAAGATCAGATTTAACCTGGTGCAGAGTCTTCTATCCATTAGTAACTCTGCCAGTGCTATCCCTGTAGTTGTATGTGGGGTGGTCCTATAATTAAATAGGAACAGTGACAGCTTGGTATTGAGTGAGGCTGTAGGCTGTTTCATCAAAGTTTGAACTGCTCTTTCTGCCAGGCCATGGGATAATGGATGGTTTGGAGCTGTCCTTATATCGAATCCCATTCAACTTTAGGAAATGTCCAAATTTCCTGCTGTTAAACGATGCTCCATTACCTGTCACCAACACTTTAGGACTCCGTGTATTGCAAAAGATGTGCACAGTTTTTCTATTGTTATCCTCTATACACATCCAATCACTTGAGTGTGTATCTTCAATGACAAAGAACATTGAGCCCATGAGAGAATGGGACTGGATTTATATAGGATACCTGGTCGGCATGGACGAGTTGGACCAAAGGGTGTGTTTCCATGCTGTAGATCTCCATGACTCTATGATTCTATGGCCTAGAGAGTCAACGTGTAATCGAGTCCAAGGATTACGTAGTCATTTCCACAAATGTAGGGGAGCTGCTGGTGATAACTTTGTCCTTGTTGGCACTCTGGGGACTGCCCACCAACACGGCTATGTCTGCATTCAAGTCTGGCCACATCTTCATTTTGGAAACCCCTAGATAGCCCTGGTAGACTTCAGACCGTATTTGAGGGCGACTTTCGATTGGGACAATCACTTTGTTCCCCATACCAATATGCCGTCCTCTACTGTGGAGCTGGTCTCTTCAGGTCCAAAAGGGTTTCAATTCTGGTTGTGACAGCCCTTTAGTTTCCCCCATCACCACCTGTTGTTTCAGTTTTGCCAGGACCGGATCTTTCTGCATCCAAAGTCTAATATTGTCAGCATTTGACTGGAAGTGTGTCCAGAGAATTTAAAACCATTATAGACTGTTCCACTGGCAGTACCACCGGTGGTGTATCTGCCAGTGGAAGGTGGCTCAATGCATCTGCATTCACTACTTGGCGTCCCAGATGGTGTTCTAACTTGTAATTATATGGACTTAATATTTTTTTTCTTTTTACATTCATGGGATGAGGGCATCGCTGGCTTGGCCAGCATTTATTGCCCATCCCTAATTGCCCAGAGGGCAGTTAAGCATCAACCACACTGCTGTGGGTCTGGAGTCACACGTAGGCCAGACCAGGTAAGGATGACAGTTTCCTTCCCTAAAGGACATTAGTGAACCAGATGAGTTTTTCTGACAATTGACAATGGATTCACAGTCATCATTAGATTCTAAATTCCAGATATTTTTGAATTCAAATTCCACCATTTGCCATGGTGGGATTCGCACCCAGGTCCCCAGAAATTTATCTGGGTCTTTGGATTAACAGTCCAGCTATAATACCACTAGGCCATCACCTCCCTTAGGCCCTACTGCTGAATTCAGCCTAAAGCCTTGTCCTCTTTAGAAAATGTAGTAGGGGTTTGTGGTCCGTTATTATCATAAAGTATCGTCCAAAAAGATATTGGTGGAGTTTCCTGACTCCAAATATGACCACCAGTCCTTTTTTCTCCATATGGCCATATTTACCCTCTACATTAGCCAAAGTCCTGGATGCATATGCTATTAGGTGTTCCTCTCCATTAGGCCACCTATAAGCTAAAACCACTCCTGTGACGTATCAGGAAATATCGCATGTCAATACCGGTTCTCGCTTTGGATCATAGTGAGCCAACACCTTAGAGGATCATAACTGTTTTTTCACTTCACCAAAGGCCATGGCATGCCTACTCTACCATTTCCAAGGCTGACCCTATTTTAGGAGTTGATGCAAAGGCGCCAGGATGGAGGCCAGGTTATGTATGAACTTTCCGTAATAATTTACCAGTCCAAGAAATGTTCGTAGATGTTCATAGAATCCCTACAATGTGGAAACAGGCCCTTCAGCCCAACAAGTCCACACTGACCCTTGGAGCATCCCACCCAGACCCATACCCCTATAACCCACCTAATCTACACATCCCTGAACACTACGGACAATTTAGCATGGCCAATCCACATAACCAGCACATCTTTGGACTGTGGGAGGAAACCAGAGCACCCAGAGGAAACCCACACAGACACGGGGAGAATGTGCAAACTCCACACAGACAGTTGCCCGAGGCTGGAATCAAACCCGGGTTCCTGGTGGTCTGACGCAACAGTGCTAAACACCGGGCCGCCGTCCCACCCCAAAGGTGAAGTTACTAAAGTCCCACTCGCTGATTAGAGAGATGACTGGTGGTCAGTTTAACTTGAGAGTCACCACATCTCAGGCAAGGGTTGAGGTTGAGAAGACAGATGGTGATCTCAGTTGGTACAGGAATTGAACCCACGCTGTTGGCATTACTCTACACCACACACCAGTTGTGCCGCCAAGTGAGCTAGCACAAAACAAAAATGACCTAAGTGCCTGGACAGACATGGCAGTTGGGCACCTTTGGTTGCCTTTTTATCTTCCAACAGGTATAACCCAGTCTTATCGAGTCTGTAGCCCAAGTACATCACATGGGGTCCCAGGAACGCATATTTTTCCCTTCTTACATATATGCCCACCTGAGAAAACTGTTTAAATACTATGTCCAAGTTCTCTGAGTGTTCCTTAGTTGTCTTTCTGGTACTAGCAGTCATCTTTTTTCACCAAGATGGCAGCAGAGAAGGACTCCTGAGCCGAGCTCGTCCACTCCCACTGCTTATCTTTTCATTTCCCTTTCTCTTTTTCTTTTTCTTCTTACTTACCTCTTGTTCTGATGGTATCAGCAGTAGTGAGAAACCTCAGTGTAGACCTCATGGCGGTAGCTGGGGAGCCCAGTGTGGACTTGAGTGGGCCCATGGCAGACCTCATGGCAGTGGTGAGTGGGCCCAGTGCAGATCTCATGGCGGTGGTGAGCGGGCCCAGTGCAGACCTCATGGAGGCAGCAAGTGCGCCCAGAATGGACTTCGTGGTGGCGGTGAGTGGGCCCAGAATGCACCTTGTGGTGGAGGTGAGTGGGCCCAGAGTGGACCTTGTGGTGGAGGCGAATAAGCCCAGAGTGGACCTCATGGTGGCAGCAAGTGGGCCCAGTGTCCACCTGGTGGTCGTGGTAAATGGGCCCAGCATGGACCTTGTGGTGGAGGAGAGTAGGCCCAGGATGGACCTTGTGGCGGTGGCAAGTGGGCCCAGAATGGATCTTGTAGTGGAGGTAAGTGAACTCAGAATAGATCTGTTGGTGGAGGCGAATTGGCCTAGAGTGGACCTCGTAGTGGTGGCAAGTGCACTCAGAATGTA